GCAATGCTGCACTTTACATATTGAGAGACGTGCAGGCGTAATGGCCGGCTCGCTCCATTAGCCTGACAAATTCCTGGCTGCAGTCTTCCCGACTAGTTGTGTAGCCTCTTATTTTATTATCCGACTCCTAAATATTATATGTGCAGAGTAAACTTGGCTTCGATGTTGTGTCACTTCTCTGGTCAAAGGAACTCGTTTAAACTTTGGTTAAAAACAGCGTGTCTTTAAATATTTATTTTCTTCTGTTCCGCTCTAAGCGATTGTTTGAACGAATTAACTCTATAATCACATTTCTTTTAGCAGTATTCTTTTTAGATTATAAGACAATCTTTGCTTTAAATGGATGCAATTTTCTTCCAAGTAAAAAAGCATATTTTTTGGATCCGATCCAACGAGGAAGGTGGAAAAGAATTCGTATTTCAACCCTTGACAGCGGCACGATTTATTTTCCGTATTTCCGAAATCTATGTGGGGTGTAGAAAATCGCGGTTGGCACTTTCTCCTCTTATTTTAGCCTGGATGGGTATCGCTTTCCGGGCAATCCGATTAAGACTCAATATTTGGCATGGTTACGCCGAGAAAGGAGAGAAAAGGCGCAAAGAATTGATGATTCAAAATCTCGCCATCTTAAAAATACCTCATTTTTAATTGAATAAATGTTATTAAAAATATATCTTATTAAATGGCTATTTTAATAAACGGGTAAAAGAAGTATTTGCGTTATAATTTTAGAACAAGTGGTAGTGTTTTACGGTAGATTTTTATCAAATTTGTAAGTGCTTACTTTGATTGGAAGGATACGAGAAGCGATGACAATTGGAACTGGTAAACGAACTAGATTAGGAAGGAGTGCCGTTTTTCTTTTTTAATTAGAGACAATGAGTGTGCGTTGTGCCCATAAAGATAGTTTGCGGTGTTAAGGAACGATTTACATTCATGAACTTATTCCGCAACTGTTCGACCATTGATTACCACTAATTAGTCGAAGCACACGTAACGAGCTGCAACGAACTTGGCCCCAGACAAACAAGCGGCGCAGCCCTAATGTGCTTTACTTGTACTCCTTAATATTTTACCGGCGAAGAGGACAGACGGACCATACATAGAAACGGTTTCGGCCGACTTGCTAAAGATCCTTTTAATGCTCTCGTTTCGTTCGAACACGGTCAAGTAATTAAAGTCTCTCCAGGCGATGGAGATAGGCCGAAGCGGCCATCTCACCCGAGACATGTTTCTCTCCTTATCTTCGTTCGGCCCGGTCTGTCCCTGTCTGCCTTATCTAAATCCGAGAGCGGAATGAATGGTCTCTACTTGACAACAAGAAACAGATGAGAGCATGGAAGATTAGATGATGCACATAGGACCGGGACGTGATCCTCCGTCATAACCAATTGCAGACATATGCTGCTTTCGTTTTCCGACTTCGTCTCCATTTCTTTTTCTCATAATTTATCCTTTCCCCCCCTTCTATAAAAAGTTACTTTATTAAGATGATACGTTTTCCTGAACTTTAAAAATAAAAGATTCCGTATTATACTGGAAAATTTTACTTTGAAAGTTCAAGAAAACACAATTTTAACATTAAGAAAGCTATTTTTAATTTATATTAAGTGGAATGGAGATCATGTTTTATACAATTATTATAACATAATAATTAATCTAATGTTAATGGTTGTAATAGTTAAGAAAATGTAGAAGGTATAACTTGTTTCGTTTAAGTATTTATTATCTTCTAATCTTCTTCCTTTCTATAATAAATTTTTAACTGCTCTATTAATATGTCCCACAATAAATAAGTTATATGTGAAATTAATTTTCTTTTTCTGCTAGAAATTAGATGAAATGTAGCTTCTTTATTATCCGTATTTAAGGATTATCTGAAATACTCTTGGGATCCATTCATTTGAGATAATGATTTGCCAGAATGGCAAACCTTAGGGTATTTCAATTTATATATTACTTAAAAATTTTTAAATCGTTTTAGATAAGTTAACTTTTAATTTTGAAAGTTTCTTAACTCTTGATACTTGTTTTGATAACGAGAAAATAATAATTTTATAATGTGGTCTCATGATAAATTTTGAAGTGGATTCTGCGAATAGCGCTCGAAAGTTAAAAATAAAAAGCATATGTAATAATTATAATGCAATAAGATAAAATGCTATAAAAATGTTCAAACTCGTTGAAGGATTAAGCGGAGGTTTTAACGCCGAATTCAATTTTGTCGGTTCGATAATAATAGAAATGTTTCTGTCCAATTTATAACATAGCTGTCATTATACAAGAATATTTTCTTTAATTAAAATACATTATGAACATAAAGTGGTTTATGCCCGCATAAATTCACATATGGATTAATTAAGTGAGGAATTTTTTTTTGTTACTAAAATATTCTTTTCTATTGCTTGCTACTCTGGAGCATTTCCTCTCATCTTTTCGCCCCACCAAATGCAAATTTTACCCGCCTCTACTCTATCACTCTCACCCTTTTAGCTCTCTCGCATCTTTTACAAATTGAGGATGAAGAGGAATCCTTTGTTACTTAACTCTTATTAAATGATATGGGTATTTTCTGTTAAAATAAAAAAGAGTTTGTTTAATGTTTTTCTTTTCTTTCTTAATTTTAAATGGAAGCCTGGTATCTTTTCTCTCGCCAAAAAAAATTACCTGATCGAACTAGATGTAAAAAAAAGTTATTATTTTTCATTTCGTTACTAAATTAGGAGTTATAAATGAGTTACTGGAGATGCTTTAGTAACTTCATATAAACGAATAGATTAATTCGTTTGTGTTATATGGAAAATAAGAAAGATTTGATGAAAGAAGGGATTAATCCAAAGTATCTGTTCTCTTTTTTTATACTTATGTACTAAGAGAAATACGTGTTTAGCGATATCATATGTGGATTAAGTAGCTTTTAAATATCTGATCACCAGAAGCGCAAGTTTTTGCGAACATTTTCAGACATTTGGTGTGCCCTTTTTACACTAAAATTTGTTGATTTATTTAGTGTAACGATGAATAGATTATTAAAATACTCATACAGATTTTAAATCATAAATTAAAGCAACAATCACTTTCAATGAGACTTCAGGAAACAACCATTTCTCGCTTATAACTCTAGTAACAGTTAATATTTCGAAACATTTTCTGGTAAAATATGATTAGAAATGATTTTAAATTTTGATACATTTAATATGGATCGAAAATTCTTTTCATCTGAGAAATAAAGATGATTGTATTTTTTTGGGAAAATGCCATTGGTGATATTTGCCAGCATCAGTTCGAGACGTAACATTTTTTTCCGTTTTTCTTATTATTTAGATTATTTATACATCGAATAAACTAGGAAAGAAATCAAATTATAGATCTTGTTCACGTACCGTCCGCTTTGAGACTTATCGGATTTATCAGGAAAAAAGGCAGAACATTTCTGGATATAGTTTTATTCTCGCAATACTCCAGAATAACGTGTAGATTTCGTTTGGAAGAAAAAATATATATATAATATTTCGAATGATAATGAGCAAGACTAATAAGACCGTTCACTTTTCCAATTCTTATTCAAATGTTTGTAAATTAGGAACCTTAAATATGATCTGTTCGCAGAATGCAGCTGAGCCCCGTTCTAATCCAAAAGCGATACCCGTGATATAAGCGATAATTTTGTTAATGTTCGATTTTTTAATAAAAAAAAAACTCATATTTGATGCCTTTAAAAGGTAGCTAATTACAGTTATTAAAAAATTATTTATAAAAATAATAATAATAATGTGGTTATCTAGTGATAGACTGTGGTAATGTAAAATCATTTAAACGACAAATGAGTTATTTTTCGGGGGAAAAAAACTTTGATTTAGTTTATTTGAAAAAAAAAAAAAAGTATTAGTTTAATTTACTCTTAGTTTTTATGGCATTTAAACAATTGTCTTATAAATTATAAGTTGGAAATGTGCACTTAATTCTCGAATTTAAAGGTTAAATTTAAGATTAAAATGCCTGAATTTATTAAGGTTTTCTGTTTATAAAATACTATTTATATGTTAACTGTTGTACGTTTCATTATAATAACCTTGCATGGGTCTTATAAAAAGCTAAAATACGCTATTTTTCTCGTCTTAAATAGTGTTAATAATACAATACCGTCTATTTTGCTATTTTAAAATCAATTATATAATTGCGATAGATTTTACGTTTTATTTTCGTTATTTTTTTTTTTTTGCTAATTGAAATAATAATCTTTTTATTATCTCGTAAAACGAATTAGAAAATGTAAGGATGAATATTTTGTAAACTGATGTAAGAGCAGATTTGCAACTTCTGTGTATAAATAAATTTTTCTTGCGTGAATTTTCCGTTACCTTGTATAATATCGAGTTCGGAAGCTGAGTGGAAAGGCACGAATGTAATGATCAGCCGTCCAACCAGAGACAAATTGAAATGTTTTATAGCCAAATATTGAGCCTGGTTCGGACGTATTAAATCGGTTGCCAAGGCAACGGGTTTACACATCCAGCAAACTTTCTAATTGCATTGGATAGATAGAGCTCGAAAAGTGCGCCATTTATTAACATGGATAAAGTGTGCGGCTGTATGCCAAGGATATCAACAGGCACAGATGCGTGTAACCTATATTGGCTGTAGTACTACTTCCCGCATCCGTTTCTCCCTCCCTCTACCGAAATCAATTCCACGCACCGCCGAAAAATCCTCCTTAATATCGACGCCCATGTAATTAACACTGTCCTCTTAATCGTGTACCATAACCAATAATTACTTTTTGATTCCTCGGTTATCGTCTTCGAACGCGAAGATGCTTCTGCAGGAGAAACACGTAAAAGGTATAAAGACTGTATAATTAAACTGTTACAATTTAGTATGTTAATGCTTGCTCGGTTGTTAATATATATATTTTTTTTCCTTTTTAATATACTCCTCTTATCTTTTTTCTTTTTAGTCGCAAAAACTAATTATGATATATTTTCTTTTTATTCTTTTAGGAAATGAAGGTAAATTGGGCTACATCACCTGGAAATACACCCAAACAAGACACAAGCAGTAAGTATTATTTTATATTTTCGTTTTGCTGAATTCAAAATAGTATATCGATTGGTGTTTTTTCATTTGATACGTTTGTTGTTGTTTAAATTTGGCATCTCTCGACTAAGAAATCGCAAAACATATTTCTGAACAGCGTCATATCCTAGTGTAGATCGCTACAAAAAAGACTGGAATTCATTAAATCAAACTCTATACCTATATCTAAGCTTGTAATAATTTGTAAGAAAATTCTGAAATTTATTTAAACCTTTATTGATTAATTACGTTATTAACTTAATCGTGTAAATATATAACGAAATTTGTATTTACAATTTAATTAACAAGAAGACAGCTGGATGGCAGAGATGATAAAGGTGCCGCCCTGAGGATTCGGGTTCGATTCCGGGTTGGCTCAGATATTTCTGTGGACAAGTTGACTTGCTTAATCGAGTCTCGTTCCTTATCACTCGACTGCCCTATTGTGTGTCACGAAAAAGACCCTAGCAATGGAGAGAATTTAAAAAATGCACTATGTATTTTAGTAATACGAATAACCGAGAATCGATTCTTTATCTGATTAATCATATCATCTTGTTTATACGCAGTTCAACGCGATTAATAAATTTTTAATATTTATTAAACACTCTCAAATTCTTCCCCTCGCAAAAATCTCAAACTAATTTCAATCAATTATTGTATAAATGAAAGAAGTATTGTGATTCAAAAGACGAAATGTATAGAAGTATGTAGTTTGTAATTCTCTTCTGATTAGATAACTATAATTTCCGATAATTTCACGTGAAGCATAATAATTTTACTCGGGAGCTATCCAAATGAAAGGGACTCGGGAGACAACCTCCGTAACTCATTAATCGCTGTTAACACAGACCGATAAGTTCGTTAATTACCGACTGTCCCTAAGTTTCGGAAGAGGAAGAGAGTTTTACCTGTTGGTACATCCGAAATTCAGTGTGACGCTATCTGCCTATTCAATTAAACCGGTCGCCAATTTTTATACAGAAAAATAAGTGAGGAGGGGAAAAAAAACATTTTCTGGTCGATATTGGTAGAGTGAAATTTGATATTTTCCTTCAAACTAGTCTGTATTCATTCGCCCCGTTTCTCCTTTCGAGTCGAGATAAAATATTTATGGAAAAACGACACATTTATTCTCGTACCACCGGAATTTACATCACTTTACAATTCATGTCCCATGCGAGATTATCGTGTTAGATTTTTTTTTTATCCCAACTATGACGTCGTTTTTCGGCTTCCGTCACTTTTCATCCAGTTTGAGTCATCTTTGGCATCGAAATATAACGTCGAAACTTTAATCTTCCCATTAATCCCCTACCAACAATGCAAACTGTAAACATTTTCTTTTCAAATTCTCAGATTTTAATTTGAAAAACTGTTAGAAACCGAATTAGAATCAGCCAGTCGAATTCGAAAGAATAAAAGACAACATAAATCGTCGAATTTTTAGCCTTTTCGAGAGTTCTCCGCTGTAAAATCTACTAGTCGAAATCAAAAATTGCATCCGGATGGCAGAAAAAAAAATCCAATAGTTTATTGGTGGAATCATTATTTATCCCGTTTTGATAATAGTTTTAATTTTTCTAGATGTTAACCGTTGTTGAGATGTAATTTTTATTTTAGTTAATAGCAGTATTTTCATTCATTTATATTTTTTTTGACATTCGTAATGAGCTGCATCTGTGCTTTTTCTGTTTCTCTGCTTTATCGGTCGTTCGTCAAAATTTACAGGTAAAATATTTTCACGTTTTATAAGTACTTAAGGATTTTTTATTATTATTATTATATATATATATATATATATATANTATAATGCTATGCGATAATTTATTATTACGATTTATAAATTAGTTGAAAATGTTCAAAGAAATATTTGAATTAATTTATTTTTTTTCCTTTTCTTTTTTTTTCTATTTTAAACGCATTGGATATTTAATCAAATTAGACCTAAATGTGTTGAGAACTTGCCACGTGTTCTCACGAAATCGATTACTTTCATTTCCTCCCCCCTCCTTATATAAAGTATGTTATACAAATTATATTTTATTATTTGAACTTTTTTTTTTATTATTTAATTTATGTTAATCAGTACTTTATATCGTGTTTCATTATAACGTCAAATACTTATATTTTATTAAAATTCTTTATTTAATTTTGATTGATTTAATAAATAATTACATAGAACTTACGTATGAGCGATTTCGTTTTGTTGATACTTAAGATGTCTCGTAATGTAATTTAATTTGGGATTTTGAAAAGTGTTTAATAAGCATAAATTTAAAAAAAAAAATAAAATTTCGTGAATAAGGTTACGCGATTTCTTACAGAAGAAATTACGGGGGTGGCCCAAAAATCAGTTAACCACTCGCAATATAGTAAATTGCAATTAATTAATTAACTATAAACTCGATTTAATTATGTTTTAATCACATTTTCTCTAACTTTGTAAAAGAAAAACACCGTTCTAACTTTAATTTGCTATTTATATAGATTACAGGATTGTATCTGAAACACACAAAAATAAAATACGTTTAAATGATTTTTGAACCTTTTATATATATATTATAAGGTTAAATAAAATATTGTACATATAATAAATAAAGATAAATAATGATATTCATTTATTTGATAAATTCTTTTACGATACGAAACAATTAATCTCTGCATATGCATGTAAGATCGGGGTATTATTCTTAAGGTAATTATTACTCTCCGTTATAATGAATGTTATGAATGATAAAAGCACTTATGAAGAGCTTTAAATCTTGTTCTTAGTTTTCCTTTAAATAAATCAAATTTATATGAACAAGAAATAAGTGCATATCTAAACATGTATTACCATGTTTACTGCGTTATTGTCTTCCATACGCTTAGATAAAAACATCTTTTGATATTAACGTTTCGTCGTGTTATTACATTGTTATTATTTTGTTTGTTAAGTTGGTAGAATAAGGATTAACATTATATTCCAAAATTGATTAATAGAAATTATTGTATTGATGAATTTTTAAACGCGTGCTATGAATCTTACGTAATGAAATTGAAATCCTAAGGATGTGTCATTAATACTTTATCTTTTCGTAGAACACTACCACATTTTCGTGGGTGATTTAAGTCCGGAAATAGAAACACAGCAACTGAAAGACGCCTTCGCACCTTTTGGAGAAATATCGTAAGTACTCATTCATTCTTTTTTTAAAAGTTTTATTCCGATAACAATAATGTTATGGCCGAGAATTTATTTTACTTTTCCGCATAACTCTAGAAATTTGGGCTTTTTCAATCCATCTCACGCTGCCGGTTAGTTACGTGTTCTCTGTGTATTGGCCTTTGCTAGCTAGTGTAAATCAGTCTCGAGTTATTCCAAACTGAAATGGAAAAGAGTTGAAGTCGAATCGCACAGCATACTGCTTGGTCTAAAATTGCATATTTATATTCAACATATGTAGCAGAATTTCTGAATAACTTACACGTTTCTCTATCTCTTTTTCTGAATATCAGTGAATTATTCATAGATGCTTCCGAAGAAAAGAAAAAAAAAAGCATTTGAACGAATTGAATTGTACTCTGAATCAATTTAGTGCACGTAATCAAGACATTTTGTTACTAAATTTCGGGTATTTATTAAAAACGTATTCGGTTAAGAGGTCGTAATTTTCGCTTCTTCTTCATTATTACCATACATTTTGGAAGAAGAAAAATACTTTGAAAAGAGGTCTGTGTCTCCGTGACAAAAAATGGGTAATTAGCTTGATAATTATTTATTATAAAGATAGATATAAAATCAATTCACGAATTTAGCTTGATAATTATTTATTATAAAGATAGATATAAAATCAATTCACGAATTACGAGAGGAAATAAAGTTGTAAGAATTCTTTCTCCATTATAATTAAGAAATCATCCATGACAGTAGTATGTAAACATCATGAACGAAGTTCACATATCTCTCTCTAGTCGATAGAAATTATTTATTGAGATAAACTTTCAAATAAACCAATAGGAATTGAAATCAGAAGTCGTTCAAATTATTTCTCCAAATGTCGAGGTAGTTGTAGGCCCGTAAGGAGCGATTGGTGGATATGTGGATCAATTATTCAGTCGATAATATTCTAATCGTATAGAGAACAGAAGAATCAAAGTTTGTTGAGTGTTCGTTAAAAGTTGGAATGTTTTTAGTTTTTAATGAGCCAATTAGAAAGTCATAGAAGTTTGGTTAAGTTCATTGTCAATATTGATTTCGCAGCTGTTTTCGATTCTTAACTTACAATCCACTTAAGTAATATAAAGATCATTGTATTCTCCATACAGAAATTCCCTTTTAATAACAAATAACATTTATTTATTTCGATAGTAATTGCAAAATAACTTATCGTTTTGTATTGAAATGTATGTAACTTACTATTTTAAATAATAAATATAATAATCTACAATTCTTTCTTTCTACGTTTGTTTTCTCTTTAATTATAATCAAAAATGATTATACTAAAAGCATTTATTTTTGATTATTATGTTAGAAACAGATATATATATTTTTTAAGTTTACTGACATTTTAGATATATATTTTCGAGGAATTTTTAAACTTTATGGAAAGGAAAATATTCAGAAATTGAACAATTATATAAAAGGTGGTGAGAAACGTATAACCTAAAAAAAATTAAAATTAATAGATTCTTTGCTCGTATTTAGGCAGATATTAGTTTAATATACTGTAGACTGCAACTTATAATGATTTTATTGGAATTGTCTCGAATGTGATTTAACAAATTATGGATTATAAACGTGCAGGATGTAATGAATTCTTATATCATCATTTAAAGAACAGAGAAATAGGAGATCGACGTGAAATTTTTAGCTGTAATTTATGAAAAAAGAAAGAGAGAGAGAGAGAAATCATGCATCTATTACACTGTTAGTTAAATTGAAAAATAGTTAACAAGTATTAAATTTTTTTTTTTTTCGGAGATGGCAATTACATTCTAATTCGTTGAATCTCTTTTCAACTATTAAAATGTTATCATCTTACACATCGTAATAATAATAATCATACATATAATTTTTTATTTTCCATCTCTAACTAATACACAAATTTAATTTTTCTTTAAAATATCATAACCAAGAGATTTCATTTAGTAAAGTTGTTAATCTGTCTGAAGAGTCATTTAATCTCTACTAGACGATGATATTAATGGCTTTCGTTGCAAAGATATACATTAAAAATATCGTTTAAATTAAAAATAATAATAATAATATTTATTTATTGTATTATTATATTAATTGACTTCATAATTTGTAATGGTTTTTTTTTATTTTTATAACCATCATTAAAAATATTTCTGATACTGTTTTATATGGAAATAAAACAGAAGGAAAAAGTAATTGAGTGAAATATCATGCAATATGGCTGACTACATTTTTTAATTGCATCAGAAAAAAATCTGATATATCTAATTACTTTAAATTGTATTTTAAACTACATAAAAAATATCATTTAATGATAATTGCAATACTGATTCATGTCTTCTGATAAGGATTACCGAATGCATCCATATTATATATAAAAAAATAAGTTATAAACATTAATTGCAATATATATATAAAGATAAAATTTGACTACAGAATACATTAGTTGTAAGATAAATACATTAAGATTTAAAAAAGTAAATGATGTACTGACTGTTATAATCCGAAAAATTATATATAAACATTAGTCTCTGAAACATAAGGCAGGGGGGGGAAAAACTTAATAACAAGAGAACAAATTATAAGATGAGTGTATAGAAATGAAAAAAATAATTATAGTCGTGACAACTATAATGATTATCGTTAAAGAAGGAGAAAAAGGGGAATAAAAATCGAATCAGAGTGAAGTAGGGAGAAAAAGATGTAGAGGTAAAATGTTATTTAGATATTTACATACAGTTTGAAAATAAATTCGTAATTTTTTGCAGCGAGTCTTCATTTCTGTTTCTTATTTGTGTTTTAACGATTATTCTTGAATATTTTATTTAAAAACATTAAAAATATTGATTCTGACATATTCAATTCATTACTAAAAAAATTAAAATAATTTCACGATTTTATCAGTCATAATAAAAATTTTGCATTGCTTCATTTTATATTTAAATCTAAAATAGTTTAATATAGGACAGTTTGAAAATATATATACACAGGAAATCTTCGTTAATTCGAACTCGGATAGTTCGAAATTCCGTTGGTTAGTAACTGTACTTTAGTCTCTGCCGGGTATATAGAGATTTACTCGTTAAGGAAAAGTGAAAATTCTATTCGAGAGTATGTTAATTCGTTTAGATCAAAGTGCCTCTATACTATAAGAGAACAATAGACCAAGAACAATTCTAATCTGGTCAATATGACTTCGCTTTTACAGTAACACATTTTTGGGAGTCACTTTACCCAGGGACTATTTCTTTTTTCTCTTATTTCATAAAATAGGGTTTGTTTTCGGAATTGCAAGATTGGGTTACAAGTAGCAGATTGAGATATTTGTAGGGCTACTAGATTTTGGCAACTTATTACTTTTTGGATCAAATTAAAAATAATTTGGGCTAATTTCGAGGAATTCAGCTTTACTTTTTATAAATCTATCTGGCAACAGAAGGTAAACAACTCATTGGACACAAGCTGTTTACTTTCACATTTATATTATTAATTAACGAAAATAGCGTTCTGTATACACAGTCGTATTCCGTTTGCTTAATAAATTACACCAGTTACATGGCATTTAACATACCGCATTCGAAGTATATATATGAATACGCTTTAAATGCTAAAAAGTATATGTAATATTCGGATTATTTAGTTCCAAAAATTGCTATTTTTGTTGGGAACAATATAGCTTCGCTTTAACTATATACAGTATTGTATGTTTAATTTTTTTTTTCCTTTTCCTACAGTATTATTGATGATATGCATTATGATATGTTATTTAAGTTGTCATTCATACGCTATTTCCCTAATCAATTTTTATTACTATAAATTATTTCGAACAGTATCACAGCCGATTCCATAAATTATTCTTTATAATAACGGTTAGATGATTGACTACTGAGTGGTAAAGCGCTTGTCGTAGAGATCGAGATTCGAACCCGATTCAGATTCTCATAATTTATCATGAGTATTGCGGTTAGAGATATTGTTATCCCATATCATACCCATGCTGACCAACTTCATTGTGAGTTTCATTCGCCGGTAATGAATTAAATTGTGGTTGAATGTAGCTTTAAATTGTGTTGATTCCTCGCGCAAGTAATCAGTCAGCCAATTATATTTCACTAACATCAATCTGCTGAAAATATAATTCAATAAAGTAATAATTTTTAGATAAGCATTGTAACATTTTAAGAATACAGTCGACCCCCCCTATAACACTGTTGATTATTCCGTTTTATATGAATTCCATGTTGTACGAGTCACTTAGATTTTACAAATAAGTGTGGCGGGCTGTGAACGGCACACGTATTTGTAAAATCTAAGTGACTCGTACATCATGGAATTCATATAAAACGGAAAAATCAACAGTGTTATACGGGAGTCGACTTATATGTAGTTATTAGTATAATTATAATGTACTTCTGATATTCCCCCCAAAAAGGTTACATACCCCAAATAATAAAGCGAACTCTAATCCTCGTTACATTACCAATATTAAATTTCACTGGGATTTAATAGAACTCTGATCTTTTAGAATAGAAATCTTATTGTCTGTCCTATAAATTATTAAATTCATCACAAATACAGTAAATTGTACATTACATTAATTATAATTAAATTTATCTGTTCCGATACGTTTGCTGCGAAGATTCGTTCTTCATATGTGAAATATGGATTTTCCTAGATTCTCTAAAGAAGAGGATAAAAAAAAACTTTGTATTAATTATAAAATGTTTCAAATTTAGTCACAGAATGAGCAATATCTTCTTATTCATCAGAATATTCTCTTTTGATTGTTAAAAAGAAAAATTTTTAAACAGAATTTGAACAGCTGTGAACTTTATAGAAACTACATTGGAAGTTTATTCTTCATTTTCATTTATAATTTTCTCTCTATATCTATTCAGATTTAATATGTAGCCAACGCACTTAAAGTTACAAGGCTTCCTGGCAGTCTTTCTAATTTTCGAATAACTTACTCTTAATGCCTGATTGAT